ATTCTTGCATTGAGGGAGTACTTGAGTGGAGGCCCAATGTCCATCTGCTACCTTAATACTAAACCTATAAATATATGCCCATAGATCTATTTCCCCATCCTCATATATAAATATATTTACCTATGTACATGCCTTTATTTAGACCTCTATAAATGCCCTATGCCTCCTAGTTCTTTCCTCTATTTCCTTTTATTTTCCTCTGAACATTGTACTTTTTATTTAAAATTTATTTTTTTATTTTTTTGAACATTGTACTTTTAAAGAGTTACCTATGAGGATAAAAAAAGTATTACCACAAAAATAGTGAAAACGAACCTATGCCCTTGTTAGTGTTTCATACACTTGATATCCATGGTCTTACCCCACCGGGTATCACGGTGTCATGCACCTTACATTGTTAGCAAACTATCCAACTCTCTTACACCACTAGCATCTTACATTTGCATAGTGGTACACAATCATTTGGTAGGAGTTACGAAGCATATGGCTAACGGGCCACATTAACTCACAGCATGTAGGCCCCAGTCTGGCTCTTCTAGCCATTTGCCCTTTCACACTCAGATGACCTCCCCACACCCAGTTATTTTAATTGCAAGTCCATCCACAGAAGTGGGTTTGCTAGCTACTTTGTGCCTTTATATTTCCCCATTTTAGATATCAAATTTCTAAATTATCTATCCCTATCCACTCTCTACACTGGAGAGACAAGTATGTTTCTTTCTCTGATGAGTTTTTGGTTTTCCTTGGAACGGTGAACATCTGTATGTACAGTCCAGTCCAGAGCAAGCCACTAGAATGCAGCAATTTACATCAGCTTTTGTTTTGATATCAAACGTTAAGTATCAAAATGTGAAGATACTACTTTTTGGCATCTTCTCCAGGTAGGTAGATCTGTATACTTCTGAAAGCAGTGACTCCATCTGTCTGATACATAAATCATGTCCAAATGGCAGTTTTGGCATCCTCAAGGGATAAATGCTGACCTTGGGGAACAAAAGAAGTCTAAAGATGCAAGATCGGGGCTGTAGGATGGATGAGGTACGTTTTACCAATGAAATTCTGGTAGGATAGCTCTATGAAGAATGAAAAGGTGCACTGTCATGATGAAAAATAATTCCTCAAGGCAATTTTCCTGGCCTTTTTCTCACCAACAGTTTTCAATTTTCTTAAAACTTTCTCATAATTGGTTCACTGATTGTCTTGTGTCCAAGAAAATTATCAATATTATCTGTCTAGAATCCCAAGAAAACAGTCACCATAAGCTTGTGAGCTGATCGCTGCTCCTTGCTTTACACTGGCTCAGTAGATTCCCTTGGAAGTCAATTTTTATTCATTTTTTTTAAAGGAGCCCTATCGAGTCTAGTGCAAGTATATGATTGAGAATTTGTCTGCAACCATTCACTGACTGTGCCATGCACTAGAGCCCTAGTATAATTATACTCACTTAAGATCTAATTGTCAACAGTAATTCTAAAGCACAGATGAGAACTTTATGGGGCATGTCTAAATCAATTATAACAATCTCGGTAGAGATGATGGAGAAAGTATGTAAAGAATGAAACCAGACTCGTTTTGTTGTAGTTTCTAAAAAAAAAGAAAAATTCTTGCCTTTCTCACTGCTGCTATAGCTCTAT